TATAAGGGGTAAAGAGTCTCTCATCTGCAAGAGCAAGTTTCTCATTCTTTTCCCTTACAGGTAAACAGTAAAGGAGAGTTAACTCAGAAGAGCAACAAAAGTTCAGTAAAGTGAGCTCTTGTGTAAAGAAGGGGTTAAAACAGCCCTTTCTAGGAGCATGTCAATGAGTAATTCTGTTTAGCTCTTTCTCTGTTCCCTGGTTGTCTAATTCACTGCTTCTAAAACTGGGGGTCCTGAATAGCCTAATATCAGTGTGATGAAAAAAGGTTTCTAAACAATGTCCATTTACACAAATCTGTTAGCAACAATGTGTATTTACAGTGCAGAAAACGCTTCAGTTGTAATCCACAAAAAGGAAAATCAGCCTGTTTAGCAAGCCTTGCAAATGCTAATTTTATTAATAGTAAATATTTACTTTTGATATCTACTTTATACACCTATATACCTGGTGTCACATAAAACTTTCTCAGGCAGAAAGGTGTCATGAGTGGAACAAGTTTAAGGTCCTGTACACACAGTGCCTAAGAAACGGGAGTTCCCATTTCAAAATGGGGGGTGGCTAGACAATGTCAGCAAAAATCACATGCTGGTTCACTACAAAGGAGGGAGGCCACGGCATAAAAAGTTCACCTTTTCTCCTGTTTCTGGATGAAAGATGCAGATCTTTACATGTCTGTGTAACCCTGCATGCCAGAAAACATGTGTTTTCCTTTCCTCCCCCCTGTGGAGACTGCTCTTTTAAAAAGACTGAAACAGCTGTCAAATGGATGCACAGATGATTGACAGGAAGCATGAATGGAGAGCCATTAGAACTCTCTGAAATTCTTTATTTTGCAATGTATAATATTAAACAGATTAGGGAAGAGAGAAATCTAGTGGAAGTTTTTTAAATTCGCTCTATTATGTGCTTCTTTTTTTGTCGTGTCAGGAGCGACTTGAGAAACTGCAAGTCGCTTCTGGTGTGAGAGAATTGGCCATCTGCAAGGATGTTGCCCAGGGGACACCTGGATGAATTGATGTTTTTATCATCCTTGTGGAAGGCTTCTGTCATGTCCCCGCATGAGGAGCTGGAGCTGATAGAGGGAGCTCATCCGTCTCTCCCCGGATTTTAACCTGCGACCTGTCGGTCTTCAGTCCCGCTGGCACAGGGGTTTAACCCACTGCACCACTGGGGGCGCAGTGGGGGGTATTATGTGCTGAAATACAAGTATATGCTGGATGTGCATATACTTTTATTTATTATATGTGCATATGTACATTTGCGGATCAGTGCATAAACATATTTTTTTCAAAAACCTTCCACCGGATGTCCCCTGTCCACCCTCCTTTTTATTCTGAGACACAGAAGGGAGAACAGTAAGGATGGCAGGGGAAGGAAGCCAAAGAATGGCAGGTCTGTGTGGGGACCTAATCTGAGTCCCTCCCCCCCCCCCACTTTTTTTCCTCTATTCTAAAACCCACATTTTGGCACTGTCTGGAAGTGCCCTAAGAAGCCCTGGTCTACTGAATAAGAGAATGTTGTGATGGATCTGATTATAACTTGCTTTGTGTTAGCAAGTATTTTAAACAAAGGGGATAATTTCCCCTTTCTCTGAGTGTCAACGTTCCAATTAAGCACATTTATGGACACGTTAATGTCAGAAACATTGCTAGATACTTAAACAACATGGGCTGTTGGGTCAATATGCCAAAAAAGGACATGGTAAAGCCGGTGTGTAACTGGATATCTGAAATCTTTCCACACTCTACAATTTGCTGAAGGCAAGACATTTCTCATCCAGGTAAAGCCAAAAAGTTTCTTCAATGAGGAAGCATTGTCATGAGGACATTATGAAATAGAAGTGAAAAGGAAGAGGAAGATCAGTATGGATTCTTTCTGAATGGAAAATGGAATGGAAAAGAGATGTCAAGATTGACCAATTGTGGAATTTATGAGTTTATGACAACAGCTTTCAAAGATTTGTGAAAAAAAATTAAGATCAACCAATTGATTATGCTGATGATTTGCCTAACCTAAAGAGAGATTAGAGATTTATTGATTAATATGAAGTTGGGGATTGTGAGCATGCTTTTGTTCTGAGATCTGACTGGAGCTGACACCTGATGACGTGGACGGGATCCTTGGGACTGTGAGAGCAACCACTTATGACCTGGACCCGTGCCCTTCCTTGCTAGTTCAGCTGGCCAGAGATGGGCTGTTGGATCGGATTGGTTTGTGTCTATAATAAATGCTTCACTGGTCCAGGGGAAATTTCCATCCTGCCTCAAGCAGGCGATAGTAAAAACCAATGCTGAAGAAGACCTCCTTTGACCCCACTATGTTTTATTTATTTATTTATTATTTGAACTTATATGCCTCCACTCCCCTGGGGCTCGGAGCGGCTTACAAGAATGGCTAAAATCTAACAAAATTTAAACGCAATTTAAAACAATTTAAAAACAGCAATATCAAACATTAAAAGCCTGTCGAAACAGGTATGTCTTACATGCCCTGCGGAAAGCTGGTAAGTCCCGCAAGGCACGGACTTCAGGTGGCAGAGTATTCCAGAGTGATGGTGCCACTGCTGTGAAGGCTCTGCGTCTGGTTGCTGTTAGACGCAAGGTCTTGACACTGGGAATTTCCAATAGATCTTGGTCCTCAGAACGGAGGGATCTCTGGGGTTGGTAGGGGGTGAGGCGGTTGAACAACAACAGACCTATTTCTAACCTCCCTTTTTTGGGCAAGGTGCTAGAGCGGGTGGTTGCCTCTCAGCTTCAGGAATTCCGAGATGTCACTGATTTTCTAGATCAGTTGCAGTCTGGTTTCAGGCCTGGGCACAGTACTGAGATAGCTTTGGTCTCTTTGGTGGGTGATCTCCACAGGGAACTGGACAGGGGAAGTATGACCTTGCTGGTTCTCTTGGACATCTCAGTGGCTTTCGATACCATCCATCATGGTATCCTCCTGGGTCAGCTCGCCGGGATGGGACTTGGGAGCATAGTTCTACTATGGCTCCAGTCCTTCTTGGAGGGCCGTTCCCAGTTGGTGAAGCTGGGGGACACCTTTTCGGACCCCTGGCTATTGACCTGTGGGATCCCACTAGGTTCCATTCTGTCCCCCCATGCTTTTTAACATCTACATGAAACCGCTAAGAGAGGTTATCCAGAGTTTTGGAGTTTGGTGCCATCTCTATGCAGATGATACCCAACTCTACTACTCTTTTCCACTGAAATCCAAGGAAGCCCCTCAGATACTGGACCAGTGCCTGGCTGCTGTGGATGAGGGAGAACAAGCTGAAGATTAATCCCAACAAGATAGAGGTCCTTCAGGTCAGTCGCATGTCTGATGGGGGTATAGGGTGGCAACCTGTGCTCGACAGGGTTGCACTCCTCCTGAAGACACAGGTCTACAGCTTGGGAGTCCTCCTGAACTCAGCGCTGACACTTGATGCTCAGGTGTTGGCTGTGGCTGGGAGGGCCTTCGCACAATTAAAACTCATGAGCCAGCTGCATCCATACTTCATGAAGTCTGATCTGACCACGGTGGTCAATGCCTTAGTTACCTCTAGACTGGACTATTGCAACACACTCTACATGGGGCTGCCCTTGAAGACTGTCCGGAAACTTCAATTTGTCCAACAATTGGCAGCCAGACTGCTAACAGGAGTGAATTACAGGGAGTGGTCTACCCCCTTGTTTAAGGAACTCCATTGGTTGAAGTTCATTTTCTGGTCCCAATTCAAGGTGCAGATTATCACCTATAAAACCTTGAACACGTACCTTCATGATCGCATTTCCTTTGACAATCCTGCACGATCCCTTTGATCCTCGGAGGAGACTCTCCTCTCGCTCCCAAGTGTGACTTGTGGGGACGAGGGAGAGAGCTTTCTCCGTTGTGGCCCCTTGGCTTTGGAACTCGTTACCCTAGTGAAATTAGGCAAGCCCCCAACCTAGCAGCCTTTAAGAAAGACCTAAAAACCTGGCTCTTCGGCATGCCTTTGACAAGTGAATACATATCCCCATATCATGTCTGTCCCAACTATTGTTCTGTCCTCATGATGCACTTTCCCTTGTCTTGAATGAAATATTATGTCCATTCCAAATATAGCTCTGTCCTCATGACGAACTTTCCCTTGTCTTTAATGAAGGCTCAATCCCATTGTTCGTCCCTTCTGAGCTCCCCCACAGACACATACGTCTCCATTTACGTATCTCACGCAGGGTTTTATCAATCTTATTCTGTGCATTTGGCCCGCCCACCGTGCTTTTATTTTATGTCTTCATCACATTATTTTGCATCTGTTTATTGCATTTTATGTATTTTATTTTGATGTTATTATTTGCTGTTTATATTTTATTTTATTTTGTTGTACTGTAATTCTGCGCTTGGCCTCATGTTAGCCGCCCCGAGTCTCCTTTGGGGAGATAGTGGCGGGGTATAAATAAAGTTTGTTGTTGCTGTTGTTACTGTTGTTGTTGTTAATGAGATGTGTTCCTTCCCTAAATTGATAATGATGAGGATATATTAGCATCAACACTCCCATCATCAATTTAACAGTTTGATCAGGCCAAACCAAATGTTCATAAAATTTATTTTTGACAGTAATCAAGATACAAGACCCATTTGCTTCTCTCTTTTGAATTATGACAGTGTGGGATTTTCAATTTGTCTTCATGTACAATTCTCATTTAATAATAATGATAATAATAATAATAATACATTTTATTTGCTCCCGAAGGGACTCGGGGCGGTTTACAAAGCACTCCAAAGTGCCAAACAGAAAATTAAAAATAACGGAAAACAATAAAACATAAAAATTTCAATCACCTACATATATAATTACCCACATATATAAAATCACATAATAAAATAAAAATGCATAAAATAAGATCATAACTGCAGATAAAACTGATTATTTACAATTAACAAAACCATTGCTGAAGTGAAGCCAACACTAAATCCTCAAAATAATTTCTTTGCAGCTCTGCTTATTCATTAACAGAATGTGAAAAGTACTCACCGAAACTACATTCACAAAATCATCATCGGACAAGGTTTCTAACATTTCAATGACAGATGTTCGGATTAACTTCAGTGTCAGTCCACTAACACTGCCACTCCTACAAAAAAGATGAAAAAAATCTGACAATTCATGGAGAATAACCTAGGTTTCACAAAAAAAAAAAACACCTTCCAAATCAGTTTATTACCTAGACCAGGCAGGGAACTGTAGACCCTCAGAGCTCTTAATGTGTATGCTCCCTTTCTGGCTCAATGGGCTACTTATTCAAACACATAGCAAGGAAAGTTATTTTTGAAAAGCAAATTATTTTAAAGCAATTTTATTTTTTTAAGCAATACCTAATTGCAATATGAATTCCATGCCCCTCCCCATTTTTGGTTAGTTTCTATTAGAGTTACAATTTTTTAAACATGATTTTCAATGTTTAAGAAGTGATCTTTTACTTTCTAAAACAAACAAAAATAAATTTACAGATTTTAATAAGTGATAATTTACATTCCAGATAATTTGCATTAGACACAGTATTCCAGGTAAAGGGGTAATTCAGGTAAAGGGGTAGCATGACTTCTCTGGAACTAGACACTATACTCCTATTTATGCAGGCCAAAATTGCATTGGCTTTTTTTGCTGCCGCATGACATTGTTGGCTCAAGATCTTTTTCACATATATTGCTCTCAAGCCAGGTGCCCCCCATTCTGTATCTTTGCATTTATTTATTTATTGCCTACGTGCATTTGCATTTGTCACTGTTGAATTTCATTTTGTTAGTTTTAGCCATCTCTCTAATCTGTTAAGATTGTTTTGAATTCTGATCCTGTCTTGTGGAGTATTGGCTATCCCTCCCAATTTGGTGTCGCCTGTAAACTTGATGATCTTGCCTTCTAACCCTTCATCTAAGTAATTAATAAAGATGTTGAACAGAACGAGGCCCAGGACAGAACCCTGCAGCACTCTGCTCACTTCTTTCCAGAATAAAGAGGACGCATTGGTGAGCAGAACCCTCTGGGTGGGTTCGTTCACTTAACCAATTACAGATCCACCTAACCGTAGTTTTGCCAGCCCACATTGGACTACTTTGTTTGCCACAAGGTCCTTTTCGAAGGAAGGCCTTACTGAAGTCCAGGTACGCTACATCCACAGCATTCCCTGAATCTACCCAGCTTGTAACTCTATTGAAAAAAGAAATCAGATTAGTCTGGCATGACTCGTTTTTGATCAATGTGTTGACTACTAGCAATCCTCCTCCAATCTGCTGGAATTTCTCCCGTTCTCCAGGAACTCTCAAAGATGATTGCCAGTGGTTCTGAAATAACTTCTGCTAGTTCCTTCAATACTCTTGGGTGTAGTTGATCTGGTCCTGGGGATTTGAATTTCTTTAAAGTGGCCAGGTGTTCTTGGATGACTTGTTTCCCTATTTGGGGTTGGATTTCCCCTAATCTGTCATCTATTTCATGTTGCTGAGGTTGACGATGGGTTTCTTTTTGTGAGAAGACTGAGACAAAGAAGACATTAAGTAGGTCCACCTTTTCCTTATCCCGTCAACATGTCCCCATCTTCTCCTCACAGAGGCCCTATCACCTCCTTCCTTTTTCTACCAACGTAAGCATAGAAGCCCTTCTTATTGTTTTTTTTTTCTCCCTGGAAAGCCTGAGCTCATTTTGCGCTTTAGCCTTGTGAACCTTTTCCCTACAGGAGTTGGTTATTTGTTTGAATTCTTCTTTAGTGATTTCTCCCCTTTTCCACTTCTTGTGCTTGTCTCTTTTGAGTCTTAGCCCAGTTAGAAGTTCTTTGGACATCCATTGCGGCTTCTTTGCACTTTTCTGATATTTTTTTTCGTTGTGGGCACTGTTTGCAATTGTGCCTTGAGTATTTCACCCTTGACAAACTCCCATCCATCTGTAACTCCCTTCTCTTTTAGTATCAGCCTCCACAAATACATTTACAAACATTTATGACAGTGGTTATCAACTTTGTGGTCAGGACCCCTGGGGGGGTCACAAGGGGGGGGGGGTTCAAAGGGTTTGCCAAAGACCATCAGAAAACACATATTTCTGATTGTCTTACGAACCCCTTTGGCAGAGAAAGCTGAAGATCTCTCCATCTGTCCTTTATTTCATTTTTGAAAACAGACAGCAAATCCTCCCACCAGAAGCTGCCTTCACTGTGATTGGCTGGCCTCTAAGCCAAGGGAAGGTCTGTTTCTGAGACTTCAAGTGGGGAGGGAAGAGCAGGCATGCTCTCCCCTAAATCACTGTCAATTCCTCCCAAATCCCTCTAGTATTTTCTGTTTGTCAAGGGGGTTCTGTGTGGGAAGTTTGGCCCATTTCCATTGTTGGTGGGGTTCAGAATGCTCTTTGATTTTAAGTGAACTATAAATCCCAGCAACTACAACTCTCAATTGGCAAAATCAATCTCCCCAACTCCACCAGGATTCAAAATTGGGCGTATCAGGTATTTGCACCAAATTAGGTCCAGTGAATGAAAATGCATCCTGCATATCCAATACATATTTATATTACGATTCATAACAGAAGCAAAACTACAATTACGATTCATAACAGTAACAAAATTACAATTATGAAGCAAGAAAAATAATTTTATGATTGGGGGTCAACACAACATGAGAAACTGTATTAAGGGGTCATGGCATTAGGAAAGTTGAGAATCACTAATTTATGACACTCAGATTCCATTTTGGATAGTGACAAATGGTTATTCTTTAATTGCAAATTCAGTGATGACTCACTTATTTTTATTAAACATATCAACTAATTAAACAAATATACTTTTTACACTGCAAATATAATAGCAACAAATTATCTTTTGGAAAGTAATAGCACAAGCTCTGTGTGAGAGATATCAAAATGTAGTCAATCGCTCTTTACTTAGCAGTGACTCTAATCTTAAGATAGCAGAAACTAAGCCATCTTCATGAAGACTTTGGAGTCCCAACCTCCGTTTCTAATAATAAGCCTTGGGAGCTTATTTAACTTGTTCAACGAGGGATGGGAGCTTCAAATGTATCATGGCACCTCACAATAGTTTTTTCATTAACGCTGCAGAATGAAAACACATAGTGGAAAACTGAAACCACGAATCAATATTTCTGCCTTTTTTTTATAAATTTAAAAAGCGATTCAACCACAAAAATCTTCCTCTCTGGTTTTTAATTATTTTATTTCTCATTTGAAAGCTGTTTTAAACAAAATGAAAGCAAGAGAAAGAGAGAGAGAGATGTTATATGTGTTAAATAAACCTTATGAGTGGTGAAATAAATAATGTATGAGCCATACTTAGAGCAGCTTGGAAAGGAGACAACAATTCAGTGATGCTGAACAGGATCGAGAGATTTGGAATACAGTCCCAAACTGACAAAGAGTTTTCTCCCTAAGGTTTTCAAACTGTGCTCATTAATTCATGGGCAAATCTTTTGCCTTGCTCCCCGTTATTCCTTTGACATTTCAGCACAGATACTTCTGTGTGCCAGAAATGCAGGAGCAAAAAACAAATCAGACTGTCATGTGTGTCTTGGACTTTCTACAAAGGAAGAACAATTTCCAGGGTTGCATGTTTAAACAGGAAAACTGTTTAAACATGCCATCTTCCGTGTTTTTCCTCAATATCTCTCTCAGCCACTTTTTGAAATGATTGCATGGGAACAGCAGCCTCATAATCATGGTATTTTTGTTAAATAAAAGGAAAAAAGAACACAGAACCATCAGCAAATTTGAGGACAAAGCTATTGAAGATTAGTATAAAACACAGGAGCCCCCCCCCCCCACCCCCGCATTTGCAGGAGTAAGGGCCTTAGGGTTCAAATCAAAGTGGAAAAAACACTTTTTTAAACCTGGGAGGACACTTTTTAAGGAATTTTTTAGGATTTTTTAAGGACTTTTGATCACATAATTATGCTGGAAAACCTAGAAATGTCTAGAGCAGTGGTTCTTAACCTGGGGTCCCCAGATGTTTTTAGCCTACAATTCCCAGAAATCCTAACAGCTAGTAAACTGACTGGGATTTCTGGGAGTTATAGGCCAAAAACATCTGGGGACCCAAGGTTGAGAAGCACTGGTCTAGAGGAAACATACTTTTTTTGCTGTGTATGGGACAGTAGCAGAGGGAAATAAATTACCGTATATACTCAAGTATAAGCCGGGTTTTTAGCCCTTTTTTTATACTCGAGTCTAAGTTACCTATTATTTTACTCTGTTATTATTATTATTATTCCTACTACATTATTTTACTCGATTTACTCAATATATTATTATTATTATTACAACATTTACATTATTTTACTCTATTCTTTTTTCTCATTTATTATTTTCCTCTTTATTATTATTATTACATTAATTTTTCCTCTATTTATTATTATTATTAAATTTATTTCACTCTATTTATTATTGCTATATTACATTTATTATTTTACTCTATTTTATTGCATTTATTATTTTACTCTTATTATTATTGTTACATTTCCGTTATTTTACCCTATTATTATTATTACATTTATTATTTTACTCTTTGTTAATTTACTTTATTATTATTGGAAAGATACGTAAGCACAATTACATTGAAGGTTAGAATAATTGTTTAATCAGAGCTGGACAGTCTTAGCTTAAATTACAGTTTTATGTAAATATTCAAAAACATTTAACCTACTGATGCCTCAATTAATGTAATTCAGTTATAATGTAATTAATGTAATGTATTCAGTTATAAAACTAAAACTTCCAAAATTCCATAGCATTGACCGATGGCAGTTACATGACATCAAACTACATCAATCCTATAATACCTATGTACCCTAAATCATGCTGGCTCTCTACAATACTCTATAAACTTCTAAGTGTTTCATACTTACGCATCAACTAGAATGAGCATGTCTTTGGGAGATGCAGCCCCTTGGATATACCTGAAATAAAAAGAAAGATAAAATTATAAAGAGATGTCTTGTTTTTGTTTTTTAAAAAATACCATGCTGGTGTTTGATCTATAAAAGTTCTGATATAAAAATCCAAGTACTGTATTACTAAATAAAGAAATCTCCCAGCAGGAAAGACTGAAAAAAAAGGATTTTCCCCCCTCTTTAGCATCCTTCCTTCTGGGTAAAGGATAGGTCAGATCGCAGCATGAAGATCAGAAGGTGTTTAGGCACACTTTGATAACACAAAAGGCAGGAAGGATCTGAAAAATACATACTTCTGAGGGGGCCATCCCCACAATCCTCTTGCATTTTCCAGGCTCCATGAGGCCATGAAGCTGGAATATCCGAGAGGGCTCTAACGTCCTCCCCAAACCCCCAGACAAGAATTTTAAAATAAAATAACTTACCCAGCCATCATTTAAGTCCTGGCACATAGGAATGACATGCTAGGAGAAGGGAGGGAATCATGCTTTGAATGCAATATTCCTGCATCTTGGCAGGGGGTTGGACTGGATGACCCATGAGTTCTCTTCCAACTCTATTATTCCTACATGCCAGGAGAGCTCCAGCAGCACTTTATTGGTGGCCAGGAAAGTTATTTTATTTTTAAATGCTTTTTAAAGGGCTTTTGGGAGGGGGTGGGGACTGTCTCCCTGTCCTCTCAGAAGGTTTTAGAAATTTCTCAACAGACTCCCCCCCCCTCCCAGAAAAGCACAATCTTTCTGGGGTGGGGGATGGACTTGAACCTGGGAGCAATTGTGTTTAACAAATGGGTTAAAGGGCTGTCGGAAACCACCCTGGGAACAGAGAAGTGTAGAAAAAGGGAGGTTTTAACTTTTCTCGTCAGCTTACTTTCTTCAGTTTAGATTACATGCCTCATTTACAGACACCCCACCTGCACCACAGCTAAGAGAACGGTTTTTAAACTCTCTTTCCCAAATGCATCATTTTAAAAATTCAAAGCACCCTTCTGTGTTTGCTAATTAGCAAAACTGAAAACAAGGAAAGTTGCCCATTACCCTATTTCATCTGGCTCTAATTCTGCTCTTTTGCATGCATACTTTCACATGTATATTTGTATGTACACACATGTACCAAAAGCAACTTATTGCATATTCCTCTCTGTATAAACATAGGTTTTTAGAAGAAAGATCCATTAAGCAGAGCATGAAGTCTATATTAAACACATTTTATTAAGCAGGAAACTTTTTTAAAAGAGAAAGAGAGATGGTAGTCTACAAAGCAGAGATTCATTCTCTATAGCAAATATTTAATTCCATCTGGGTATGTTGAACTCTCATCGTCATGGGCTCCTTTGAGACATTTTTTTTTTGCATTTTTACTAAGCACTAGCTGTACCCTGCCACGCGTTGCTGTGGCCCATTTCAGTCTTCCCTTTCTGCTTCCCTTCCTTCCTTTTTTGTTTCCTTCCTTCCTTTTCTGTCTTTCCTTCTTTCTTCCTTCCTCCTCCTTCTCCTTCCTTCCTTTCCTTCCCCCTTTGGCTCCTTCATTCCTTCTCTTTCCCTTCTTCTCTCATTTCTTCTGGACTGTCCCTTTCAACGGTAATGCCGCGGGGGAGGGGGGGGTGAGGGGCGGCAAGTGCGCGCGTGGCGGGGAGTTTGCGCCGCGCGCGCGTGTGTGCCGCGGGGGGGGCAGGGGCGGCGGGTGCGCGCGTGGCGGGGAGTTTCCGACGCGCGCGCGTGTGCCGCGGGGGGGGGGGAGGGGCGGCGGGTGTGGACTGTCCCTTTCAACGGTAATGCCGCGGGGGAGGGGGGGGTGAGGGGCGGCAAGTGCGCGCGTGGCGGGGAGTTTGCGCCGCGCGCGCGTGTGTGCCGCGGGGGGGGCAGGGGCGGCGGGTGCGCGCGTGGCGGGGAGTTTCCGACGCGCGCGCGTGTGCCGCGGGGGGGGTGAGGGGCGGCGGGTGTGCGCGTGGCGGGGAGTTTCCGCCGCGCGCGCGTGTGTGCCGCCGGGGGGGGGCGAGGGGCGGCGGGTGCGCGCGTGCCGGGGAGTTTGCGCCAGTGCGCATGTTCAGTTGTTTTGTGGTGTTTTCGTCGTTGCAGTTGTGTTTTCTTTACTTTGGAGTAGATTAGTTTGTAGCGAGGGGGTTGTCCTAGGGGCATGGGAATTTTGGTTCAGTTTCGTTGGGGGGTTGTGGAGTTATGCGACGCCGTACGACGCCCCCTACAGATTTATATATATAGATTAAATCATTAAAGCAATATCTCTTCTGTTCATGTTCTTTTAAACCACATGTTTTAAATATGTCTGTATTTCTCGTGATATTGTATCTTAGGCCCCATTATATCTGTCTTGAACTGGATTATATGGCAAGGTAGATTTATATAATCCAGTTCAAATCAGATAATCTGTATGTTGGATTATATGGTAGTATACATCCAGTCTAAATCTATGTTGCACCAGCCTTGCAATTACACACACAGAAATCAAAGAAAAGGACAGCTCACAATTTGGTTTAATCTTGGGTGAATTGCTAATATGAGAACATTTTGGAGATATGTTCATGGCTTAAAACTGGGTTAGCAATGAAGTAAGAAAGTTACATTTTTCTAAAAAAACACATCATAATAGGTGGGAGAGGTTATTTATTTGTCAAAAAAATATTTCCTAGTTATATTTAAGAGGAATAAATTGCTTTGACACCACTTTGTAACAGATGGTATAATGCATTACTTTTGCTATGTTCTAGAACTGGTCTGCACAACCTGTAGCCCTCCACATATTTGAGCCTCCAACTCTCAGAAGCTCTAGCCAGCTGATCTGATGGCTAGGAATTCTGGGAGCTAAACGCTGAATATGTTAAAACTACAATAAATAAAAGTTTTTAAAAGGAATTCTGGGAGCTGAAGTTCAAAATACCTGGAAGTCCACATGTTCAGCAGGCCTGTTCTAGAATATCATGGAAACACATGGTCATCCCATGATCACAGGGTTTTCTGCAGCTGAGAGTGTGTGACTCACCCAAGGTCACTTACTGGCTTTCCCTGGCTAGGCAGGGAATTTGACTCTGGTCTCCAGAGTCATAATCCAACATTTAAGCCATTATTAAGAAGCATGTGTGCATGCCTACACACAAATGAAAAGTGTTTTCAAAGCCTCTACTAGTGAAACAATCCGTTTTTAAAAGTTGGAATAATTTTGATAGCAGCCTAGTTAAATATTATTCTCCCTCTATTTTGAGCCACCTCACAAACATACATTTTGAAAAAAAATCATCTGCATTTAAAAAATCTCAAATAATTTTGAAAGTAACCATGATTATTGTTTTGAAAAAAGAAGTGTGGGGCCAAAAAGGACGGAAATACTAAGATGGACACATACCATGGTCTTCTACGGACATCATACAGGTCAATCTTGTTCTGAGTGCGACTTTTGTCCACCCATGGGGATGCTGAAAATAGAAAGTAACAATTGATAAATATAATTCAAGGGTAAGGAAAAATGTGAATAATTAAGTTAACTTCTTACCATAAGCATGCTACATGGGGGTGGGGGAGGGGGGAGAACTGCATGGCTCTCCATTTGTTGCTTAACTCAGGTCAATAAGTGGCTCAGAAAATGATGTCTGGAGGAACGCTTTGGCTTCCTCGACCATGGCCTGCTTTTCCAGGAGGATGGCCTACTGGCACAAGTAGGAAAAATACTTTTGTTTTGCTCACAGACTTGCAAACCTCATCAGTCACACTTCAAACTAGGTACTCTGGGGGAGGGGGACAACAGCTTTGCTAACAGTACTTTATCCACAACTGCAGGGAACCACCAAAAGGCTCAAAGTAGAGTTGCACAAACGCAGGGTTGCACAAGTAGCAAGAGCAAAATAATCCCAAAGAAATAGCTCACGGGAAGGTCCCAGGGGCTTACATGTTTTTACACTAGAGCATGGGAAATAAACAAGATGGACTCTAACTTTTAGCACAACACCACACTTACAATGTCATAGGCATTACTGAAACCTGGTGGGATGACTCCTATCACTGGAATGTTGCCATCAAGGGCTATAACCTCTTTCACAAAAACAGAAGAAGGGGGAGAGGAGGCAGAGTAGCAGTATATGTCAAAACAGTTACACCGCAGAAGAGATGCAAGACCGCAATCTGAAAAACCAGCTTGAAAGCATCTGGATAAGAATCAAGAAACTCAAAAATATCTTGTTGTGGGTGTCTACTACAGACCTCCAAGCCAGTCTGAAGAACTTGATGAAGCCTTCTGTCAATAGTTGACCAAGCAGGCACAAAGAAAATATATAGTAATCATGGGCAATTTCAACTATCCCGATATTTGCTGGATAAACTTGGCCAAGAGTACAAAGTTCAACAAATTCCTTACTTGTCTTGCAGACAAATGTATAATCCAGAAAGGTAGAAGAGGCAACGGGATCGGCTACTCTCAATCTCAATTTAACAAATGCAAAGGACCTGTTCAATGCAGTTAAAGTGGTCAGATCCTTAGGGGTAAGTGGCCATGTGTTTCTGCAGTTTGCAATACAAAGGAAGGCTGAAACTAAGACAAGTCAAACCCGCATTCTGGATTTCAGAAGAGCTGACTTCTGAAAAACGAAGGAAATACTGAGCGGCATTCTGTGGATATCAGTACTAAAAGACAAGGGAGTTAAGGATGAGTTGGAGTTTTTCAAGAGTGAAATACTCAAGGCACAATTGCAAACACTGCCAACAACGAAAAAAATCAGACAAATTCAGAGAAGCAAGAATGGATGTTCAAAGAACTTCCAAATGGGCTAAGACTCAAAAGAAAAATGTAGAAGTGGAAAAGGGAAGAAATCACCAAAGAAGAATGCAAATGAATACGCAACTCCTGTAGGGAAAAGGTTCACAAGGATAAAGTGCAAAATGAGCTCAGGCTTGCTAGGGACATTAAAAGCAATAAAAAGAGCTTCTTTGCTTACGTTGGTAGAAAAAGGAAAAGCAAGGAGGCGATAGGGCCTCTGCAAGGAGAAGATGGGATAATGCTGACAGTGGATAGGGAAAAGGCAGAACTACTTAATGCCTTCTTTGTCTCGGTCATCTCACAAAAAGAAAGTCATCCTCAACCTCAGCAACATAGAGTGGATGAAGGTTTAGGGGAAATCCAACCCCAAATAGGGAGACAAATCGTCCAGAAATACTTGGCCAATGTATTTATTTATTTATTTATGACATTTATATGCCGCCCTTCTCACCCCGAAGGGGACTCAATCTAAATGAATTCAAGTCACCAGGGCCAGATTAACTACATCCAGGAATATTTTAAAATAACTTTTATTCTTTTATAGTGTATATAAGACATAAAACAAATGAACAAAAGAAAAAAATAGGCAAAAGGTTTACAAAATTATGTACAGTCAGTGCTTGTAAACATATGAAAAATTGGAATTGGATGTACAGTTAATTATATCTTAACATTTCTTATCCCTCTATCCCTAGACCTGTGAACCCAACTCCCGTGACCTCCAAAGCCCCTCAAAAAGGGTCACACAACTAACCCATATGTCTTCTTTCACTAAATCCTCTTTATGGCAATCTTCAAGTTACTTTTATCTTCTTTTCCAGATACCCAAGTGCTAGTCTCCATTTGTTTGCAAATTCTTCACATGAATATTTTCAGGCAAAGAAGTTGTTTTTAGACCAAAGCTTTCACAAGTATCCAAACCTCACAATGAAAGCAATACAACCAAGATGTTGCTTTCATGTACGGCGGCACCTTTGCTAGTAGACCGTAACATCTTTTTGAATACAACATATTATTTTTGAACAATTATAGTTCAGAAAGAGTCTTTTCTGAAGACATATTAGTGATTGTTAAGCCTTTGGGCAGATTATTTTTAAAGAACTATGAAGTTAAATATATATTGATTTTCCATCATCTCCTATACCTTCAATTTCCACCTTAAATAAATGTCTGATCATGCCACTTGGTCAATTGCAAGCTGATATCTATAATGCAAAAATAATGTTTCTAACCAACTGTGAAAATCTAAAAATAGGAAATCATTATTATTTGTAGCTCACATCTAAACAGAGGGAGTTTTCATGAGGTGCTTGTGCCCTGGAGCTGCTCTAGATCCAGTACATCTGCTGGTGTCAGACAAGACAGAGGTTCTCCTGGTCAGTCTTAAGATAGAACTGGAAATAGGGAGTTAGCCTGTGCTAGATGGGTTACTCTCCCCTGAAAACACAGGTTTGCAGTTTGGGAGTACTTCTAGATTAGGCTGTGAACCTAGGTATCAGCAGTGACCAGAAGTGCTTTTTCCCCAGCATCATTGTCTTCTCTAAGTTTTCCTTTCTTCTCATGATGTGGCCAAAGTACTTCAACTTTGTCTCTAGTCTCCTTCCCTCCAATGAGCAGTCGGACTTTATTTCCTGGAGGATGGACTGGTTGGATCTTCTCATGATCCAAGGCACTCTCAGAACTTTTCTCCAACTCCACAGTTCAAAAGCATCTATCTTCCTTCGCACAGCCTTCCCTAAGGTCCAGCTCTCACATCTGTAGGTGACTATGGGGAATACCATTGCTTTAACTATGCGGATCTTCGTTGTCAGTGTGATGTCTCTACTCTTCACTATTTTATTGAGATTGGACATTGCTCTCCTCCCAAGAAGTAAGTGTCTCCTGATTTCCTGGCTGCAGTCTGCATCTGCAGTAATCTTTGCACCTAGAAATACAAAGTCTGTCACTGCCTCCAAATTTTCTCCCTCTATTTCCCAGTTGTCAATCATTCTTGTTGCCATAATCTTGGATTTTTTGATGTTTTGCTGCAACCCAGCTTCTGTGCTTTCTTCTTTCACTGTGATTAGAAGGCTCCTCAGCTCCTCCTCGCTTGCAGCCATCAAAGTGATATCATCTGTGTATCTAAGATTGTTAATGTTTCTTCCAGCAATTTTTACCCCAGCCTTGCATTCCTCAAGCCCCGCTCATTGCATGATGTGTTCTGCATACAAGTTGAAAAGGTTGGGTGAGAGTATACAACCCTGCCGTACGCCTTTCCCAATCTTGAACCAGTCTGTTGTTCCGTGGTCAGTTCTTACTGTTGCTACTTGGTCCTTATACAGATTCCTCAGGAGAGAGACAAGGTGATTTGGTATGCCCATACCACCAAGAACTTGCCACAATTTATTATGATCCAGACAGTCAAAAACTTTAGAACAGTCAATAAAACAGAAATAGATGTTTTTCTGAAACTCCCTGCCTTTCTCCATTATCCAGCGGATATTGGCAATTTGATCTCTCATTCCTCTGCTTTTCTAAACCCAGCTTGTACATCTGGCAACTCTCGCTCCATGTGTTGCTGGAGTCTTCCTTGGAGGATCTTGAGAATTACCTTACTGGCATGAGAAATAAGGGCCACTGTATGAAAGTTTGAACAGTCTTTAGCATTTCCCTTTTTTGGTATGGGGATATAAGTTGATTTTTTCCAGTCTGATGGCCATTCTTCAGATAGTCCCTTCCAGAAGAAGATGTAGCCTCCTTTTTCTTCCTTCAGCTTTCCCTCTCCTGCTCTCCAGGTCTCCTGAAGTGCTGCTATGTTAAAGAGTCCCAGCTGCCTTGAAATGATAGCAGTTCTGCATTCAGGGCATTCGTTGTCAGTATTATCCATCTGTGTCCATACGTTCCATGTTCCAAAGTTCATTTTTCTTTTTTGGCCACAGGGTGGTGATCCCACTAGACATGGCAATCCAGTCACAGATAAGAGAGGCAGACTATGTTTAGGGCATCCTTTCTAGCCCCTTCTCTGTGTGGGGTGAGCAGAGTAGATCCTAAAAAGGGCTTCTCAGTTATGGATACAGCTGCTGGACTGCTTAACTGCCCCAGACCTTGAGGTAGGACCTCAGACCTTGCTGTCTGTGCCTGTGTTCAGAAGATTTCATCTCATTTTTTGCCCCTGTGATAATTGAATTTTGAAAAATTTGGCTTATTGTGGAAACAAGGATTGATGATAAAGCTTCAGTGGAGACACCTTTTCCCCATAATAACTCTTCCAGGAGTCAAGTTCCCTACCAAGGGGTAGATTTCGCTTACTTCCTGTTGTCTCAGCCCCCTTCTTAACAATGAGTCGTTTGAAAGTTAGATGTTTGTAACTGAGCAATAGCCTGTGTATGGAAAGATGTATTGCATTAGGAGGGCAGTGACATAGTCATTGTTCTGCAAAGCTTTTATGGGAGCAAACCATTTGTCCTTTTATAGAAGGAAACAAATACCAGTTTGGAAAATAAACCCACTAATGGAACTAGCTGACATCTAAACCCAATGAACAAAACTCTTAAAGGACACCATTTTCATTCTTTGCAAAGAGACTAAAAATAAAACTTTGTACCATACTTTTCTAGGAAAAAGCAAACAATGCTGATAAATGGTTTGACAAAGGTCTCTTCTCAGATATGAAGGCTAAAACATTAC